TTCAAAACTGGGACGATAAAGGAGACTGAAAGAATCAAATGATCATGAAAGAAAGTCTACAATTTTCAAAATCCAGATTTCATAGATTTTAAAGGCTAACTGCTTGCAAATTTATCAGCATAGTAATTGAGAGGCAAGTCTTACTTTTGTAACTATAGTTTTGTTGAATTACAACTATATGTATCCATTCAAATGTTTTTTTTGAATAACTGCTTTGGTGCTACAATGATAAAACTAAGTAGGAGGGACAGAGACCTCATGGACTGCAAAAAAGAAAACATCTACATTTCAGTACTATAAGAATAAATTTTTACTGACTGCTGATGTAGGGGATAACTGAGTTCATATTGTATTAACTGCCTTTTTAGAAAAAAAAAAGAATATGTCTTTAGCTATTTATCTACAAGGTTGGTCAAAAATTGTGTGTTTAAATTTTTTTAAATATCACATTGAAAGACACAGTCCCAGTGATCCCACTCAGAACACTCCCCTCTTTTGGAACACACTTATCCCACTGCTCTTGCCACTTCCCAAAACAGGTATGGAAGTATTCTTTCACATCTTCATCGAGTTTGATTAAGGAAAAAATGGAATGCTGCTGCTGACTGCCATCAAAAGGAATAGCAGGCTCGTAATATCACTGTGTATCCTCATCCACTTTATTCACCAAGTATGGCATCCTGCAACTTCTGGTTCTTCCCCAAAGTCAAAGTGCCCATGAAGAGTAAATGTTTTAAATTGATTTAGGACATGAAGGCAGCCACAACAATGTAACTAGAATAGTCAAGAAAGAGGACTTCCAGAACTGCTTAAGAAAGCAGCAAGAATGATCGGATAACTATGTTGTAAGTGAGGGGGAGTATTTTGAGGGAGTTAATGGAGATATGACTTTTACTGAAATAAATTATTTAACATGTAAACATTCAACATAATTTTTTATCACACCTCATGCCTATCTCCCACAGGTCTTATACAGAGAAAAATATGGAAAGAGACTTATTGACAGTTTATATTTGCTAATCATTGGCTTATACCCTTTATCAAAAATTTAATGATACAATTCTGATGATACTTATTTTAAAGGATCAGAAATTATATAGAAAATATAGTAAAAGTTATATATCCTTATCAGTGTAAATTACTGGAATATAAACTTGCCCAGGCAACAATTTATTTTTCCTGAAGAAGAATCCCAGAATTTTTTGCTTACTAATTCTCCCGGGTAATATTTCCAAGCAGGTAAATGAAGCATTTCATCCAAACCAGTAAGAGAGTGCATCTAATTGAGTGGGTGAGCAGCAAGAGAAATGGAGCAAGTAAAATCATTTCTGGGATCTGAATACAAGTAATGAAGGAGCAACTGAGAAAAGAACTTCAAAGTTTTGGCCAGGATAGCGATCCACTTCATCAAGAAAAATGTGTCAAATACCTTTGAATGACCTCCCATTTCCACATTCTTAATTCAATTTTTAATACTGTTACATATTGATTTTATAACATAACTTAATATTAATTTATAATGTTTTGTCAATAGAGTTCTTTCTACACATTATTTTCTCCATCGGATGGCATATAATTTCAAGCAGGTCTTTCAAAAAAGTCTTGTGACATTTGCCGAGCTCCTAAATATTTATGTCATTTCCACTACCTTCGTTCATAAAATATTCATAATCTGACCCTAAATAATAATGTGGGGGCACATGCTGTTCCTCTCAAGAATCATTAGTTGTTGTTCCACTAGCTCTGGCCATTCAATTCTGCAGAGAAGTCTAAGGAAAACCTGACTTTAGCACATAATGGGAAAATAAAACAACCTGTGGACTCAGCTACTTACCCACTGTTTTCATTCAAGCTTTTGCACACAGTGCTTTTCCCTAATACTTAAAGTTATTTCATAATTTCCAAGTCTCTGGACTGCACATATAACATCTCTTTCATCCTTCTGAACTTTTTCACCTTTGTGTAGCATTTAGGAAGAGCTTACATTTGTCATTTACATTTGAGATATGATTTCTCAGTGTCAAATCTTTTCTGCTAGCTCTGTGGATTTAATTTGTCTGCTGCACTTTAAAATTTCATTATTTCCTCCATTATCATTTTCTTCTTGTCTTTTTTCCTTTCATGTGGTTCTTTTTTATGGACTTCTGATTCTGTTTCATAATAATTGTATCTTTTGACACTGTACTCAGATGGCTAGTCAACTTTTTTTTACAATTTGTTGTATTTCCCTTTTGAGTCTCCAAGATGAATTTTGTCTTCCCTTTCCTTTATAATAGTTCAAAGGCTCATTGTTGGAGTTTTCAATGAATTCCAATGTGGGAGATTTACAGGAAAGGTATCAGAGAAAGCCAAAGCCACAGAAAAACAAGCTGACAATCACAACCCTGGGAGATTTTCACAATCTATGAGGTTTCTATACAGTTCAGTTTTGTAGAATAATCCTAGTTCCTGGGTAAGTTCCAGTAAGTAAGTAAGTTCTAGTAAGTTCCTTACTGACAGTGACTCCGTATCTGGAGTCACTTTTCCTTTTTCTCAACTAGAACTTCCCACTAGTCTTTTCCATGTATTACTGAAATTTTTGCTTTGAATACATGTGAAAAAAAAGAGAAGAGAGATACAGAAAAAGAAAAGAGAACAGGGTATCTGGGTACCTTGTGTGTTAAAAGGAAGAAAAAACACCAGCAACAGAAATTATAAGAGACTCTACCTACCCAAATTCAATAGTTTAATCCTTTCTTTTCATTGCCCATTCAATATTTCTCCCCAGGATTTTCTATCAGAAAAATAGATGAGACAAAGAGACACTAATGGGAGAGAGAGCAGACTGAGGAGGTGCAAATACTACTGTGGTGGACTCAGAAGTAGCAGACAGGACGGTGGCTCAGCCCCTGGCATGTCTCTAAACTGATGACAAAAGACAGACTGAGACAGGAGAATGGGTCTTTCTCTTTATTTTCTCTCTCTCACTATTTTGTTATATTTTTAAATTAAGCAGTATGCATGGTTTGTCAACTAAGATTTTCAACCTCAAAATATTAGGCCCAAATTAGTTATGTTAAAAACATTTCTGTTTTGTGAAGTGCCATTGTGTTTCATTTTCTGTGTTTTCACAGATGTTCTAGTGGGAACTTAGGACTGGCTAAGTTAGATGCAGTTACTCAAATGCCACTCATAAGGAAAGGCCTAGTCCTTTCTTTTTAAATCTGCTTCATCTGGCTACTCCTCTTCTGTGTTTCTCAGCTGAACAAAGGTCCTAGGTTCTTCCTGGTGCCTACAACTTCTACTTCTCTACTTGGAATCGTTCATTTTTTTTCACAAGTCCTGTGAAAACTAGCTACTCTCTCCAGCCATTCAGGAAAAAAACCCAGTGATCTTCACACAGCTCGTTGGAGGGGTTCTTGGTGTCCAGTGCTCTAGAAGATAGCCATGTCACAGAGCATGACTCTGTTCCCACTTCAAGGAACCAAATTCCAGGCTCCTGTATTCTAACATGTGGGGCCCCTTATCCTTCCTGGGAATTTGCTTTGTTCATCGCCTACTCATAGCACTTGCTCTAGGTGGAGGAACATAGGGAAAATCCATGTCAGAATACTCTGGCTTACATTAACACATTCTTGCAGTCGGCTCCTATGGAGTAGATTTTTAGACATGTCCTAGCTTGCGTTGGCCTGAGTCCATACCTGTGGTTTGTTATCTGTGGCCTGATTTTCCTCACTCTTATTCTAAATATCCCTCTCGCTGTCTTCCTTTCACTTCTTATTTCCCTAAGTCCAGATCATTTCATACTCCACTTTCCTGCCTGATTTTTCCTAAAATTCACTTTTTCTTTTTCTTTGCTTTGAAATGCAGTGTTCGAACAGTTATTCCTACTGTAACCATTCTTGTCAGTACCTGGCAGATGTGACCCGCCCCCCTTCACAATGTATTTGTCACAGGTCAAAAGGAATCTCAGGGAACTTTAGAGTCCAGAAAAGGGGTAGAATACTATTAACTACTATGTATTCTACTGTGAACATAAGACAGAAATTCTATAAGTTGCTATATATTTTAGCAATTAAAGAATGTTACTTATGAAAAAATCGCCAATTATCTGAGATTTAGAGCTTAAAGGTGTTTAGGATATTATTCAGCATCTTTAAAGTCATTACAGGTTTGTTTAAAAGGTACAGAAACAAATTATTTCATTACTCATGGTTCAACCAATAAGCCCAGAAACCATTCTGCCTTATAGACAATTATTTGTTGTACGACACTGTCCATCAACATAACATCCTTTATCACTTATCTTAAAGGATTTCAGACCAACAACTATCTGAAAGCCTTGCTACAAATAAGTAGTCCTAAGGTGAAGACTACTGTTTTCTAATTCAAATAGGAATTTTAAAAAGTTACCACAAGCAGGTAAAGACACATGAATTAATGAAGGTCAAATCACATTATTGGCTACATACCAAGCTGTCCACAAGAAATACAGTTCAGATCACAAGAGAGAATCACATATAATTTAAAATTTTCTTTTGGCCATAATTAAAGAGTAAAAATGAAAAGGCGGTGAGATTAACTTTAATTCAACCCCAATATATCCAAAATATTAACATTTCGTTATTAAATCATTTGAGTGTGTGAATTAAAAATTCAAAATCTCATGCATATTATACATTTACAGAGCATCTCAATTTGGACTAGTCATATTTCAAATGATCAATATCCATATAGGGCTGGAGGCAACCACAGTGGGCAATAATATTCTAGAGTTTTATATCATCATCATTGCTTAAGAAAAATGTTATAGAGAAATTTTCTAAAAGTAACTAGTGATATGTACCCAAGGTAAAGCATATGCTAATTAGCTTGATTTAGCCATTTTACTATATATATTTCAAAACAACATGTTGTACATGATATATACAATTCTTAAATTTATTGCTTAAAAAATTAAAAAGAAATGACATGAAGAAATAAATAGTGTGTGAGGCAATGATAAATTATTTTTCTCTTACCTACACAAATCTTCTTTTATATGAAGGGAAATCAATTCCTTAGGAATATGGAAAGAAAGTATGCTTTCTGACATCTGCTCCCGGATTTGCATCCACTTATTGTCAGAAGTGGGAAATCTATATAATTTACAGACTGGGTTCTTTAACACTAGGAAAGAAGAAAAAATAAAGAGGTAAGAGTTAAATTATAAACAAATGTAGAGCAAGTGAAGCTTAGTTAACCGTATCAATAACCAGGGTAGCATTCTAATTATTTATTTCACCAGCAAGATATTCTTTATCAGAATTCATTAGTATATTTGAACTTCTAAGAATTTTATTTTTATGCCACATTTTTCAGTAATTTCTGGAGCATCTTGTCTTTGTTAAATTAAAAAAAAATGTGTAAATGTATACATTAGACTCCAGGTCATACATGCAGCTAAATATGGTTTCCTAAATTACTATGTAATTTATTAAAAAAACACATCTTCTTTATCCAGTTTCCAGTTGATGGGCACTTGGGCTGTTTCCAAACCTTAGCTATTACAAACTGTGCCGCTATAAACATAAGTGCATACTACTCAGCCACAAAAAACGAGAAACTAAGAGTCATTTATAGCTAAATGGATGCATACTGAGGCCATACTCTTAAGTGAAATAAATAGGACACACATGTGTAAATACTGAATAGTATCTCCAGTGTGAGAAACTGAAAGTGTAAATAAGGATGAAAATGATTAAAACGAATAACTGATAATTTGAAATAGGAAAAGGTCCAAAGGGGTAGGGGTGGCGGGAGGGGAAGGGGAAAGGGAAGAAGAGAAAGGAAAAAGTATGAGAAAGAAAAAAAAAATGGAAACAAAGTCTATGCAAATAGGGAAGGGTGGACGGGGTGAAGGGCGCACAGGTAATGTGGAAAAAATAACCAAGATACATCATGTACAGGTACAAGCACCCAATGATAAATGTAAATGTATTGTATACCTAAAATGTACCAATTAATATATAAATAAAAAAATTACTATGTATTTATTGATTTATCTCTCTTTTAAATTTTGTATGTGCGTGCGTGTGTGTGTGTGTGTGTGTGTGTGTGTGTGTGTGTGTTCGTGTGTTACTGGAGGTTAAACCCAGGGCCTCTGCACTAAGTTATATCCACAACTGTACCTTTCTTTTAAAATTCTGAGACAAAGTCTTGCTAAGTAGTTGAAGTCTGGCCTCAAACCTGTGATCCTTCTTTCCCAGCCTCCCAGACTGCTAGTATTACAGGAAACTTTTTAAAACATTTTATGAAGCATCTGTGCCCATAAATATAGATGATAATATAAGTACACACATAATACACAATTTGAACAAATGTTTCCAAATTTCTTCTGATCACTCTTAGTCAACTTCACCTACTTGCACATTAAGTAACAACAGATGTGTTAGTTCAGAAGTTTTAGTGCTCTAATAAAAATTCTTGTATGTCAAGAAGGTTCATTCCTTTTGCTTAAAATGTATGAAGATTCAAGTACTAGGCCTGTTTTAACCTGTCAATGAGTGAATAGCAAACTTTCTTGAGTCCCCAGTTCATCAGAAGCAAGGGAAAAGAAACTGGAGAAACTCCACTTAGGATAGATGGGCAGAGATTAGGGAAGAAGCAACAAACTTATGCGAACAACCTGTTTAAAAGGTTCTGGAAAATAATGTAGAGGTTGATATCAAAATAATAGCTCACACACTTTCATGAACCTACAACATAATTCCAAGCCATATATTTCAGGTTAGAATGCTTTCCCACTAACGATGAATGTCTTTGTTACACTCGTACACCAAGGCTTGACGGCCAATAAAAACATCATAACCATCACCTGTCAAGGTCTATTATTAATTGACTCTAGTTTACAATAAAACCGATTTAAAGTAATGCCTGATACTGAAGTGGATGTAAAACTTCAAATAATACTGAGCATGGTATGTGGTGCAGGTCTCCTCAACATACAATGGAACAGGTCTTTCAGAATTGCTGGGTTCTATAAGACTGCCATATTTTATTCACTACTTTGCAAACATTAAGATTTATCTTTCTGAACGTCGAAAGGAGAATTTGTTCATCCATTCTTCTGCAAACATCCATTTTTAAAAGCATACTGTAAAATAATCATTATCAAAATTGGTATCAATCAAATCAGAAACTTTGATTTCAAGCATCACATTTTTCAACCACCTGATCCACATCTTCTATTGTAGTTATATACTCTTGCCAAGAATTAGGCAGAGGGCTCACTTTTCAACAACACCAAGAAAAGCTATAACTTTGTAGAATAATTCCAGTATGTTGGAGAGAAAATATTTTAAAATTTAGAGCCGTATGTTCAAAAACATTTTAAAATACATCCATGATTTTTTTGTCAATTAGATTTCATCACAAACACATATAGAGTTCATTATATTTATTTCCTTTTATTTGAAATATAAGAACTTATAGCCAGTCATTGAAAGAAACTACATTTCATTAATTTTTAGAGTGACAATGTTTCAAACATTTAAGAACTTCACCCTTTCTATTAGTATATCTCTATGGAGTTGAAAAAATACATTTTTAATACAATATGGTACCAGTCATGTTGCATCACACAGGATGAGTTCTCACGAATGCTAATATCATAACATCATTAGGACTGTGAATGAATCCTTTTTTGGTCTGACAAATCTTACATCTCTGAAGTGTCCAAATTTTTCCAAAGCAACACATGTAAATATTCAATTACGTGGTTCCTCTATACTTACCATATTTGCTCTTTTTTTGAAAATGACACTAAATCTGTAGCTACAAAACCAGTTAAGAATTCTTGGATTTTTCTTGCCCTTGACAAGTCAATAATTATTTTTTAGACAATTTACATTTTGAATTATATCAGGAAGTATAAGTTTATTTCTCTGTTGATCCGAAAACAAGTCCTTCAATATTTTTGTTGTTTTTCATTTCAAAGCTTTTCAATGTATTCCAAATATGAAACACCTCTTGAAATAGCTTTGGGAGAAATTAAGAGCAGTTTGATTAATGAGCTCTGGTTCTCTCCTCTGACCAGCAGGTCCATATACTCCAAAGACTCTGAAAATAATGCCGCTTGTTTTTTTTTAATGAAACACTTGGGTCAAATAATGAAAAGTCAGGCAACTTAATCATGGAAAAACATTTAATGTCTCCTCTCTAATTTTTATGTTACAGGTTTTGATATTCTGAGACTCAGAGGCCGCCCCATACAACTATGATATTGTACACGATGGTCAGTATCTCAGTGCAGATATGTTGGGATCTATTTTGTAACTTGATGTGATCCAGCAGCATTCCTCTTTGAGCCCCTAATGTGCCTGAGGCTGGGACACCTATGTGTACATCAAACATCATATAATGGAGCATGAATTTAAAAATAAAGAAATACAATCTGACCTTTAACTGCATTCATATTTAGTGCACTGTTTACCAAAAGACCAAACAAGACGATCTCAACTCAAAATTCTTGCTGTGCAGATGGTGGGGAAGTGTAGTCATCCTTACATAAAAGAAAAGCCTCGCACTTCTGGATCTTATACCGAACAATGGGCCACAAATGATGAGTGATTTGCCAACATTTTTCAATACTTCTCCACTATAGCACAGGTAGAGTTGCAACAATTCCGCACACAACTTCCAGCTGTGTAAATGAGCAGATGATTGTGTGAATAGCTTTCAGCTCTGACTCTGCACCATGCCAAGTGTTTGTTCACATACCAGCAGGTTTTCTGACCATTCAATAGCCTCAAACCAACAGCAATAACTAGGCAACATCCACTACAAATTCTTTTTAAAGACAGACCTGTGTGTATTTCCAACTTTACTTCTATAATATTTTTGCTAACATCATTTCTAAAAAGATCACATGACAGATTCTACCAAAAGAAATGTAGGTGCAGTATTTTGATCTGCATTATTCATGGTCTTGAGATGACTTCATGAAGGTCATTAACGGCTCTCAATCTCATTGGATATGTTTTTCTATGGTTTATTTCTTAAGATGAACACAAGAATAGAAAAGTAAATGACAGATTTATTTTCCTTCAACATGGCAGGCCAACTCAAATGTCTAAATTATTTCTCCCAGACTCTGCAACAGGGATGTTTAACCAGGTAGAGGGCCACCTGCTTTTCCATTGGATTCAGAAATTGTGAACGCCAAGGTACAGCAATTCTGAATAGTTCCAAGTAAAGATGCCAAGGAAATGTTCCACAAAAAAACCCAGATATGTTGAAAAGACTGCGGCCTAAGCAAGATGGGACAAACAAAAAGATATACCAGAGTTATCACAGGATGATTTTCTATTTTCCATCTGCTAGGGATATCAGTGAGCTGATCAGACAAAGAATTTTGGAAATAGAATTCAGGGTGCAAGTGCAAGGGATGATCCAAAAGCTCAATCATTTATTTCACAGGGTTATCTTTTATATACTCCTGTGAGGTAGCTTATCTGCGGTTATCTTCACACATTTCCTTGCTTTCAGGATAGGGTAGACGTTTCATATTTAAACAGAATCTAACTTTACTGGGTTTTGGCCCCACAAATCCCTCTTTTAACTTCAGATTCTTGTAGAGAATCTATCCGTTCTGTAGTTTCAATTTTGCAGTCCTTTAATTATTTAATTATTCAGCAGAATGTGCATACATTGCTTATTCTCTAAAAGCTACATTATATTTATTAAGGATAAGTCCTTGTAACTTAATTAGATACTGATACACCCTCACTTGTACTTGAAAATGTCCTAGATTTGTATACACCTGAATTGCCAAGTTGGCTTTTTTTTAAGATTGGACAATATCTAAAAAGCCTAATCAGGTCACAAAAAACACCATCCTGGGCATGGCTACAAGGAAAGAGAGTAGAAGAGGAACTTGAGTGGGACTCAGAAAATGCAGCAAACAGGTAGCTTTATAATAGGCAATGCAGGTGAAAAAATATTCAAAAATTACAATCTCAAGATATTTATAGTGACATTTTTCTAGGTACATGATAAAATTGAAACTGTATGTATGTTTGTATCTATGTATATATGTATTGTTTTTTGAGCTAGGGTCTCCCTGGGTAGTTCAATCTGGCCTCAAACTCAGGGCAATCCTCCTGCCTCAGCCTCCCTAGCACTGGGAT